CACATTATTTATAAATCGAGAGAACGAATTAGTAAATTGTGCGCATGATTTATAAATCGAGAGAACTAATTAGTAAATTGTGCACATGATTTATAAATCGAGAGAACTAAATTGTGCAGACGATTTATAAATCAAGAGAACTAATTAGTAAATTGTGCACATGATTTATAAATCGAGAGAACTAATTAGTCAATTGTGCAGATGATTTATTTATTTTTTCTTGCATGTCATGTGTGGGGCTCCGTAGTATGTAACACCAGACATCATCTTTTTAAAAAACAAATAACTTGTTCAAATGTGAGTATCTAATATGATAAATCATATTGTTTGTTTGAGAAGCATTCAAAACTTAGAATATTTACTTTCCAATTGCATATTCTTGGTATTATTGTCAACAATTAATCTGTAGAAAACCATCTGAAATTACATACTTCAGCTTTCAATTTCAATGGAAAGCTGCATCGCTCTAAATAAGACTGATGTAAGAACTGAATGTAAGATCTGACCAGAACTGTTTGAATAATTGCCTGTTGCTTTCGTTCACAGTCTTACGCCGGACAGTTATGATTGGGGTAGTCAAAACAACAGTTTCACTGCATACGTCGAAGCTGAAGAGTCTCATCTAGCGCCAGAGGAGTTGAATCCCTATTAGAACATTCCCAATGAGGAGTGGTATTATTTTGCACATTCCCCATCACTGATGGGAAATATTACATACCACAGATGTCTTTACCGCTGTTTATTACAGTATTTCAATATAATAGGACAGTGTGGCTCTGGAAGCAAAACCACCAATCAGTTTCTCCAAAAAGAAATAGATTCTTACCAATAATGTGAAATATTAAATTCCATAGAAGTAAATGTGATTTCTAATACACTATCCAGAGATTAATTAGAGAAATCTAATTAATACAATGGAAACAGTTCCACTCAATCCCATGATTCATTGCAAACTAATTAATCGAGTCCGCCTCCCTATATTCTACATATAGTAATACTTGTATATTTAAATATTTGCATTTATATATGCATTTTGTATTTAAATATATTTATTTAAATATAACTATAAATGACTAAGTCAATCATTTTATATTATACAGCTGTGCTTTTGATTTGATTATTTGCAATGCATCATGGGAAGAGTAGTTCATTGCCTCATTAAATAAATTGAGTATGATTTCTTGTACAAACACAAACTGAAATAACTCATTACAAGTATTACATCTTTTATTAGTTTTATATTGTATGGTTGTTTTTGATTTGATTATTTGCAGTGCCTCAAGGGAAGAGTAGTGCATTGCCTCATTAAAGAAATTAAATATAATTTAATCTTCAAACACAAATTGAAATCCCTCTGGAGAAAATGAATGGGGAAAATATTTCCAGAATCAGTGGCCGTTCGTTGTCGCGTTCATTTCTTTAAACTTGTAGGCCAGTAGTTCTCATTTCAGATGCACAAAAAAGCTATATTTCTGAGTTTGCACTGTCAATTATATACAGAAGAATATATATGAATTAATATATTAAGTATACTAGATAAGTATGCTAACATTCCACTGTGTGAAACATAGTTTTTGTTGCAATTTTTGTATTGATGCTCCATAAACAAAATCATTATCTTCATTTCAGTTCTGTTCAGATTCGGACACAAACCTTGTTTAACAAAACCACATGAAGGAAATAATTCATTTCATATTTACTTGGCCTGAACTGTGAAAATGTTATTGACACTCTCCCATTGAAGATTTCTATTTTTGGAGACGTTTTTTTTATAGACAACTGCAATATAATGCATTAACAGAATGATCACTATAGACAAAACAAGAAACGTATATATTTTGAAATGTTGAGACGTGAATGAAGGGGTTTGGTTTGTTGTCCATTGTTTTTATAAATGCATTTTTAGTGTTCGACTGTACAGTTTGTAGCTTTTGCACTTTGTAAGACTTTGTCTGACTTTGTTTTCTACATTAATAAAAGAATAAATCTCTATATTAAAGACACTGAGATCACTTGTCTAGACATTAAACCAAATCAATAGCAGATTGACAAAGACTGTTTAGCATTGCATCAGTGTCTCAGCAATGGATGCTCTGCAGTGAATGGGTGCCGTCAGAATGAGAGTCCAAACAGCTGATAAAAACATCACAATAATCCACAAGTAATCCACAGCACTCCAGTCCATCAGTTAACATCTGGAGAAGACAAAAGCTGAAACAAATCCAGCATTAAGATGTTTTAACTTCAAACTATTGCTTCCGGCTAAAATACAAGTCCATAATCCATAATAACGTTTCCTGGAAGTAACGGTTTGAAATTAAAAACATCTTAATGATGGATTTGTTATTGTAACTGATGGACTGGAGTGGTGTGGATTACTTGTGGATTATTGTGATGTTTTTATCAGCTGTTTGGACTCTCATTCTGACGGCACCCAATCACTGCTGAGCAAGTGATGCAATGCTACAATTCTCCAAATCTGATGAAGAAACAAACTCATCCTAATCTTGGACGACTTGAGGGTGATTACAGTATTTTAATTTTTTGGTGAACTATTCCTTTAAGAAGCATGTGCTCTCTACTACAATAAACAGTAATGTTGTTCTTGCCTATAATATACTCATTCATATCTTTTTCTTTAGACACACACTGTAACTGCTCATCCATTATGAAAGAGTGTTGTTTTGCATCTGCTCGTGTCTAATGCCTCCATTCATTCAGACATACAACAGAGCATTTGGGCTTATAGTGACGTGTGCAATCACAGCTGGCAAGTGTTACTCTGGTAAATGAAAGCTACATACATAAACTCAAATCTGCAATAAGTAAATACTAGTGCTGTCAAACGATTAATCGTGATTAATCGCATCCAAAATAAAAGTTTTTGTTTACATAATATATGTGTGTGTACTGTGTATATTTATTATGTATATATAAATACACACACATGCATGTATATATTTAAGAAAAATGTTATATTTGTATATTAAATATATTTTGATATAATAGAAATTATATAAATATATACATGTATATACATGCACAATATATACTGTATGAGTGTGTATTTATATACATAATAAATATACACAGTACACACACATATATATATTATGTAGACAAAAACTTTTATTTTGGATGCGTTTAATCGTTTGACAGCACTAGTAAATACTATAGAGTATTTCCAAATGGTGTTACAAAATATATTTCTCATCGTTTGCTCACCTTCATGCTGTTCAAAATCCAAATGACTTTCTTTCTTCGGTGGAGCACAAAAGTACAAATTCTGATAAATGTTCATGCTGCTCTTTTCCATGAAAAGACAAAAAAAAAAAACAGCATCATAAGTGTTCAGTTTGCAAAAAATTAAATGTGTAAGTGTTTATTTTTTACTTTTTTCATTATCCATGCGTTTTAAATGTTTGAATTTTATGACAAATTTCAGGGTTGTTAATATACTTAAATAGCATATTCGGCAGCTTAAAACGTTTTCACGTTTAAAGTATGCATGTTATAGAACAAAACCTGGTCTCTTGCAGTAATGTTAAACACACTTTTTCCCAAAACTGCTATTCTAAAACGTTCACATCAATAGTAGTAAGATATTTCAATTTGGTATTTACTATTATTTTAGCACTGGTAATGTCTTGACGATATAGGATAGGCATGAAAAAACAAAGACATAAAAATATTTCCGAAATCAATCGATATGAATCAATTTGGGCCGTATAATAGATGCTATTGAAACCTCCTAGTTGACATCTTGCAATTACGGTAATTTTGACATGAATGACTAGATTGCAACATTGATTTCGTATAGATCTACCGAAAAATAACAATAAACTGACAGACTAGAAGAGAAAAGTGGAAATTTTTCACACACCTAGCGAACTAGACGAGCAATTACACCCCATTGAGATGAGAGTGAAACAAATCATTTAAAACAATGTCAAAACATGCATGACATTTGTTTAGAAGCTTTCGTAGCTGAGAACATTATTGTTCAAATGCTTGTGTACAGATTGTACGTGCAAATTAATATGCTTGTGTAATAGTTTGAGCAATTACTTCATTATTTATGTGTAAAGGGATGCAAATAAAGAGCTAAAGTTACTTACATAAGAACACAAAACATTAATCTTAATATTTTCAATCAGAGTAGACTGCTTCGGAGTGAAACAACCCATCTAATAAAACAACATCACAGAATTCATCAGACTTATTATTAATACATACTGAGATTTACTTGCTTTTCCCTCCAAAATGATGTCACTTCCTGGAGGATGATGTCATTAAGAAATAAATCTTTGAATTTACAAACAAACAAACCAACAAATTAATAAATAAATAGTAATACTTAGAACACAATGGAAAAAGTATACAATGATTAGCAATGAAAACAAAAAAAAAATTGTTCAAAATTTAAAATAAACACCTGATTTTTTTTTTTCAGATTTTATTAATAAACTGCCAATGTTTCATTTTACAAGGCAAAATGGTAACTTCCTTCCAAATTAAAGCATTGAAATACAATTCAAATATAAATCTATGGTTGTTTTTTTTGGCATTGTAATATAAAAAAAAAAGTAACAATTTCTTACAAATTGTGAGTTTATTATGCCTTGTTGGCAGAAGCTATTTACACTAACTCCGCCCACCAACGTCTGATTGAGATAGTCAACACTAGAAAAAGATGCTCATTATATATCAGTTTCAGTGGCGTAGGTGATAATGCGCGTACTTTTTGACGCGATCGACCCGAGTTCGAACCCGGCTTTTGCCGAACTATTTTTCTCCCTTTTCAAATCTCATCGGAAAGGCATTTTTTTTCAATAAAAATTAAGGAAATAATCAAAAAGTTGAAAATAAAGTATCAGGTAGGGTTAGGGTAGGTGTAGGGAGGTCTTTATTGTCCCAATAAGGTGGCGTATATTTAATAATTTGAATTAAAATTACAATTTACACTCATTACATTATTATTGCGTACTGTTTTATAATGTACTACAATACTGAGGTGCAGATAATTGCTACTATTTGCAATAAGTAGTATAAATAGCAGAAAATCTTGCTGTTTTAACATAGCATAACTAGCATCCATCGCTATTTGCACCTAGTGTAAATAGTGTCTATCACTAAGAAAATATGCTATTTGCACTTAGTGTAAATAGCCGCTGCCTTATTATTTTATCCAATGTCAGAACACATGATGTTGATATTAATGACACATTTTCTTTTCTTTTCTTTATTCCACCCAGCATAAACAGTATATTTGTCAAGAAAAACGCCTGATGGCTGAAAGTCAACTTGAGCAGCAATCTTCCCAGCAAGCACAAAATGTTTTCACATTATATAATATTGCATTTCGGTTTACACTGTAACCAAACAACTGCAACTTCGATTATCTTTTAGTTGCAATTACACTTAAGATGTAAATCCATGTTCATTTTATGCAGCTAACATTACAATGATGTTGTGAAATTACATTCATGTTGGGATTTCTAAAAGTAGCCTCACAACATCAATATAATGTATTTTTATGATGAAAACAGAATGAGACTTTTGAAACTTAAAATATTTAAAATATACTAGAAGAAATCTAGTCGAAATCTGAAAGTTATTTTACATTATTTTTTATAAAATCACTCACCAAATGTTCCACATTTTATATTATCACCTTAATCAGAGAACGTTAAATAGTTCATTAGATCATGAATAAATCAATTAAATCATCATAACCAAAAAGCTGTTGCTTGCCAGAAGTACTCTGTGGTAGTTCATTATTTTGCAAGGACCTGACCAAACTGCTCAGACAGTTTCTATGCACAAAAATCTCAGACGGTTTTCTGGCTTAACACATTCTGATCCAGAGGGAAAAACTTCTCCAGTTTTTCTTTTAAGTCTTTTGCATGTGGCCTGTGCTCTGGTGAATACGACAACATCTTCATGATGAATTTACTCTGAAAAAGAAGCATAATAGAGTTTTAGGCTAAACTCGGTCCAATCAATATTTATCTGAAGGTAAAATCAAGTTCCTTACCTCAGTTTGACAACTATCACTGAACCCTTCTGGAAACCTTTGATCTCTCAGATCCGGCCACAGCTGTGCAACGTCAAAAAAAAATCACTTAAAAATTAAAAGAATTGTTCCTTTTTTTGTTTGGTTTTGTTTATTCATCAGAACAGATTTGGAGAAATGTAGCATTGCATTAGTGTCTCAGCAATGGATGCTCTGCAGTGAATGGGTGCCGTCAGAATGAGAGTCCAAACAGCTGATAAAAACATCACAATAATCCACAAGTAATCCACAGCACTCCAGTCCATCAGTTAATGTCTGGAGAAGACAAAAGCTGAAACAAATCTATCATTAAGACGTTTTAACTTCAAACCAATACTTACGGCTAAAATCCATAATCCATAATAACACTTCCTCCAGTGAAAAACTGTTTTCCGCTCAAATAATTTTTTAGAGCTGTTTTGGACTGTTGTAAACGGTGCTTGATCTGTGCAGATTTCTCTCCTAATTCAACTTTTTCACTGGAGGAAGCATTATTATGGATTATGGACTTAATGCTGGATTTGTTTCAGCTTTTGTCTTCTCCAGATGTTAACTGATGGACTGGAGTGCTGTGGATTACTTGTGGATTATTGTGATGTTTTTATCAGCTGTTTGGACTCTCATTCTGACGGCACCCATTCACTGCAAAAGACAATTTGAAATGTTTTTTTTTTTTTTTGCAAATATGGGTAATAACTGTGCTTATAGTATCACTACTGATGACTGTCATGAAATGCTACTGACCTTTACTCTTTCACTACCAGTAGATATTTTCCAGATCATCTCAAACCATACGAGTCCAAGGGGAAAAATGTCTGTTTTTTCATCATAATTCTTCTTATTTTTCTAAGGAAAACAATGATTTTTTAAAATTTATTTATTTATTTAGCAAAAAAAGAACACAATACATTTCTATAAGTATTATGGTGTAAATATTTCTTAGAGAAAATAAAAATGCATCACCTGTTCAGGACTCATATAAGTTGGTGTTCCTCTGTTTGACCTCTCTATAGGGTCACCATTTTGATCCGTCTGAGCCGCCACCAGCCCAAAGTCTCCGATCTTCACTTTACCATCAGCACCAAACAGTATGTTATCAGGCTAAAAGGAAAGTACACTTGTGTAAAATGCTTATTTGCTTAAATGTAAGTTCAGTTGCCTCCCAGCAACAAATATGAAATACCTTTAAATCTCTGTGGATGAGCTTGTTTGCGTGGATGTATTCCACTCCAGTGATAATTTCATAAAATATTTGATGGATTTCCACTATGATTCTTTGTTTTTCCATAAAATTTCTCGCCTTTATCCAATCAGTCAGTGTTCCTCCCTCGCAGAACTCCATCTGAATAAATAAATATGTACCGCTGCTGAAATAAGAGAGTCACATGGGTCAATATTTAACATTGCAATGCACGGTATTGTCCTAAATGTGTCATATCATGTTTTTTTTCAAATTATATTTAAATGTAAATACGTCTTAGATTTACGCTGACGAAATGTAGAAATAAATCGCTTCCATGACCATGTGTTTTGCTGCTGTGCCTCTTTGGATGTGAAATGACTAACAGCTTTTCTTCAGGGTTTGCCATTTGGCTTTATACTGTATTGTTTAAACTGCTCCACCCTTCAATAACAGCCGCTTTCATCACATTATGCCAGATTCATAATTCAGATTAAATGCGCAATTATTCAGATCAGACGGAAATGCACAGGGAATAATTTTTTTATTTGTATTTTTTTGTCAAAATAAACCTCAGCTCATTTCTAACACTGTTATTCTTCAGAGGGAAATGCCGTTTGGGGCGTTTTTGGACCTATTTAAAAGCCCATAAATTTCCATCAAACAAATAAACTCACTGATTTGAAGAGTCTAAACTGTCAGTTCTGTTGATTCCTGAGGGCTCAGCAGCAGTGGATGCTGATCTGAGAACAGACCCAGTTACAGTTACATTTACATTCATGCATTTGGCAGATACTTTTAACCAAAGGGACTTAAAGTACATTAGGGCTACATTTTATTAGCAGATGCATCTGCTGGGAATAAAACCCTTGATAGTTGACACACTGTATTACTAGTTTACCCTTAAAGGTAATTAAAGGAATTAAAGGGATAGTTAAAATGAAAATGTGATGTTTATCTGCTTACCCCCAGGACAGCCAAGATGTAGGTGACTTTGTTTCTTCAGTAGAACACAAACGAAGATTTTTAAGTCAAACCATTGCAGTCTGTCAGTCATATAATGGAAGTGGATGGGAATCACGGCTTTGAGAGTCAAAAAATACATACACAAACAAAACCAAATTAAACCCTGCGGCTCGTGACGATACATTGATGTGTAAAGACACAAAACGATCGGTCTGTGCAAGAAACTGAACAGTATTTTTATTTCGTTTTTTACCTCAGATTTTCACAGCAATGTCTGAACTGTGCTGAGTGCGTCCTAAGCGTGTTCAACAGCCGGATCGCAGACTCATTAGTGCATTACCGCCACCTATCTCTCAAGTGAACCATTGACACTCCTAATTGAGATTGTAGATAGACTTCCACTTCTATTATATGACTGACAGACTGCGTAATGCTGAGTTAAAAATCTTCGTTTGTGTTCTACTGAAGAAACAAAGTTTCTTCAAATTTTCATTTTTGGGTGAACTATCCCTTTAAG